CACCCAGGGCCACCCAAGATCACCCAGGGCCACCCAGCTGGCCACCCAAGGTCACCCCGGGTCACCCAGCTGGTCACCCAGGGTCACCCAGGGTTACTCAGCTGGTCACCCAGGGACACCCAGGGCCACCCAGGGTCACCCAGGGTCACTCAGGATCACCCTGGGCCACCCAGCTGGCCACCCATGGCCACCCATCTGGCAGCTCTCCCCAGCCTGGGCTGTCCAGGGCTCCCCCTGCCCCTGTGCAGCTGTTTCTGAGCACAGCACCAAGCAGCTTGAGCTGGGATCCGCACACACAGAGCTCCTTCAGCTGGGTCACAGGGAGCTCTGACCCCACAGGGATTTCCGTGGCCACCCGACCCTTGTGGAGAGCCACGGCTCAGTGCCTGGAAGGAGCCCGGGTGGGTGGCTCTGGGTGCCCAGGAGCAGAGCAGAGCTGAAGGGTCCACGCCAGAGCCAGCTGTGTCAGGACACGCACAGCACAGATCTGAGCAGCAAGCGAAAAACCAAACCCGCTTCCAAGGAGAGTACTCCAGCATTTCATGGAAAGTAGGAATTCATTGAACTGAAATCTGCTGATGGGCAAAAGTCTTTGTGGTCTTTTTGACAGGACACATTTTTTTAAGGTATTGTCCCCCAGCAGACGTGGCAGCAGGAGCAGCATGCAGAGAAAAGCCTGATCAGACATTGCCACAAGCTGCTGTAAAACTCTGGATGCTGTGCACCTGTAGCGTCACCCACAGGAGCTCTGGGAAGCATTCCTGGTAATGGATGGCACCAGCAGGGAGCTCTGGCTGAGGAGGAGCAGCTCCAGAGCAGCCCTGGGAGAAGCTGGGCTGTGGGAACCAGGGCAGGGGAATATCTCCTGTCTGCCCTGGCTGCTCTGACTCCCAGGGCAGCTCTGACTCTGACCCTCATTCATGGAGAAAACCTCCTAAGCCTCAAGGTAAACTACAGATCATAAAAGTGTGAAACAGATTGTAGAGAGCAGTGTAGTATGTCACATGGGTGAGAAATTTAGATTTCAGGATTTTTAGTATGTTATAGATGGGTTCAAGATAGAAGATATAACGTGTTGCCTCAAATTCCTTTCTTTTCTCTTCTTCTTCCTCTTTCTTCTTAATAATATCTTGTAAGGAAGGAAAAAAAATCTGCATTGCAGGTCTTTAGAAGTCAGTTGTTAGGTTAAAAAAGAAAATAATCTAGGTGTCACCTCCTAAATAAGTAGTTTACTTTTGATTAGACTTAAAAAGACCTTGCAGCGTGAGGTTCTTGGCCATTTTTGTCCATTTTTCCTTCACACAGAGTCTGGTGCAACCAGTGCGCTGAAGTTTTCATAAGAATAAACAGAAGCTGAAGAGCGAAAAAGTCCAATGTGTGTCTGCTTTTCCTGACTCAGAACTGCTCCAGGAGGGTCTCCCCTGCCAGAGGAGCCCCAGGGCGCTGTCCAGCTCGGGCCTCACAAGCTCACAGTGCCCGGGCCATGTGTGCTGGCACCCAGAAAACCCCCTGTGCTGGCCTGACCCCAGCTGGGCAGCAGGGGAGGGCGATTCTACTCCTTTGTCCTGCTCCTGTGACAGCCCACCTGCAGAGCTGCCCCAGCCCTGACCAGCACAGCAAGGATGAGGAGCTGCTGGAGCCAGGCCAGAGGAGGCATCCTAGTTGATCAGAAGGCTAGAACGCCTCTCCCATGAGGAAAGGCTGAGAGAGTTGGGATTTTTCAGGCTGGAAAAAAGAAGGCTTTGGGGAGACCTCAGAGCCCCTTCCAGCACCCAAAGGAAGCTTACAAGAAAGATGGGGTGTGGCAAGCACATTTCTCTCCCTCTCAGGGTTTTTCATAGAGGTGCACAGAGAGAAATGAAAGAGAAAACAATTTCTATTTCTGCTCCTTGTTTTCCCATGTGGAATGTGTGTGGAGAATTGTTTACCTGGGTGATGCTTGGTTGGATTCTGGTGAGGATTGTTTGAGCCTGGTGGCCAATCCAACCCACCTGGGGCTGGACTCTCAGAGAGGGTCAGGAGTTGTGTTAGAGTCAGAGAAAGTAGTGTGTAGTTTTAGTATCTTCCTTTTTATATGGTATATTACTGTATTTTAGCATAGTTATAATAGAGAAATCATTCAGCCTTCTGAATTGAGTCAGACATCAGCATTTCTTCCCACTGGGTTCGCCTGCAGTTACAACAATGGGGACAGACTTTTATGCAATAACAGGACAAGGGATGGTGGGTTTAAAGCCAAAGAGGCAGATTGGGACTATATAAGCAAAAGAACAATGCACAGTGGGGTGGGCAGCCCTGGCACAGGTGCCCAGAGCAGCTGTGGCTGCCCCAGCCCTGGCAGTGCCCAAGGCCAGGCTGGATGGGTTTGGAGCAGCTGGGACAGTGGAAGGTGTCCTTCCATGGCAGGGGCTGGTTAGATGGCCTTTAAAGGTCCCTGCCACCCCAGGGACCACTGTGCTCCCGTGGTGTCCCCTGCTGTGCTCTGGTGACACATCTCACACTGTGCAGCTCCAAGGTGGGCCACCCCAGCGCACCAGGCAGCCTCTGCTCCTGCTCCCTGTCCTGCCAGGCAGGGGAAGAAAACCGAGCTCCTTCTTGACAGAGGTGGCTCTGAGCTGCACCAGAGACTCTTCTGGCACGGCCGAGTGTCTCTGCAGCAGAGCTTTTGAAGGTCAGCCAGTTCTGGTGAGACACGAGGACAGAGCAGCAACTCACCTACTTCCCACAGAGCTCCTAAAGATGTTCTTGGAGATACAGCCAGGGAAACAGCCGAGCCAGAGCACCTGGCTGGAGCTCCCGTGGCACTCTGCGCTCCCACCACACCACCTGTGCATGCGCAACATGCGAAAAGAAGATTTAAAGAAGAAAACAGAATAAAACCCCAAGAGTACGGCCATCCTGTCTGACAAGCCTGTGATATCTGCCTGTTTTTGGGGACATGAGCTGCACTCATGGGGGGCTTGCCCTCTGATCACTGCCAGGGCTACAGGCAGAGCTACTCCTGCAGCACAGGCTGGCCAAGCTGCCCTCCAGCCTCCCTGGCTCACAAAGAGAACTGTGCTGTGCCAGAAACCTCTGATGTTCAGCACTTCTGTGTAATAGCAGGCAAAAAAAAAGAAAAAAAAAAAATAGAAACAGCACTGTTGCTTTTTAATACTACCTGAGACCCAGATTTTTGCCTATAAACTGATGCTACTGGGAAAAAAAAAACCAAACAAAAAAACCCAAAACAAGCAAACAAAACCTACAATCAAAACAAACAAAAAAAACCACCACCCCCACAAAAAACCTCTACAACCAGCCCTATGCTCCATCCAGCTGCTGTAAATCAAGAACAGCCAGCAAGAGAATTTGGCCCTTGTCAGCCCAGGGAAGGCAGGAGAGATTCTGCTTCCCCCCACTCTCTCAGCTGACAGTGGTGAGGTTTCACATTGACACATTCTGGCTCCCAAGGAGCAGAATTAGTTTTAAAATATGAATTTCTGGGCATGAAGAGACTTCAGGCACAAAAAAAGAAGTGGTTTGAGCAAAGGCCGCACATCCTGGACTGGTTGGGGCACGAGGGGAGAAGCAGGAATAGCTTTGTGCATGGTGCACACAAACTGAAGGAAACCATAAACAGAATGTTCAAGGTGGAAAGGAGGAAAATCAATACTTCCCTCTTGAATAGCTTTCACTCCTAAAAATAGACTGTGGGGGAAGTGTGTGAAGACTTTACTCCCTCTGGACAAGGGGAGGGAGCGCTCTGCCAGCACAGAGGGGATATCTCGCTCTGCTCCCCAGGTCCCAGCTCCTCCTCAGGGCGAGGAGCAGAGCTGCTCCCCAGCAGGTGGATGGATCTTCCTCCTCAGCCCTGCACTCACAACGCCAGTGCCAAGCAGCTCAGCCTCAGAGAAGCCCTGTCACACCACTGCCACCTTGCACAGCAGGGAGAAATACCAACAAAAGAGCCACACCATCCCCCCAAAAAAGGTTCTGAACTCCAGCTACTGTCACTGATCTGTGTGTCCTGCTGCAGGTCTGCACCCAGCCAGAGTGCCTGCGGAGCTCAGCACCCTGGAGTATTCCCATGGCCTTCCTGGGGCTCTCCAGAGAGGAAAGAACTCGAGTTCAGAGCGTTCCTCCACATCTGTCAGCTGAGGTGACCTCAACATTGTGCTGGGAAGCAGCTCTGGCATGGCCTTTTGGCAAATGTCAAGAAAGGAAGAACAGGACAAGAGGGAAAATGCCTGCATTCAAGAAATATTGATTCAGGAATGTTGTGCCACATGCAGAGGCTTATCAGAGGGGCCCAGAGCTGCTCCCCAGCTTTCCACAGACTTTCCACAAAGAGAGAGAGCCCAGAGCACTGTGCAGCATTAAGCACCTGTTCGACGGCAGATTGCTCAGCAAGAATTTAGCGGGTAATTTACTAAATCTTATGGGAGCAAAACCCAGGATAAATTACCCAGCAGCACGCATGGAAGCCTGTGCCATCCTCCTGCTCCTGGTGCTGAACCGGGCAGGCAGGGCAGGGCAGGGCAGGGCAGGGCAGGGGGTTTGCCATGGCCCTGCTATCACTCCCTCCTTGCCTTGGCCTTCCCACCCAGTCTGGCCCCAGGGGTTCCTCGCTGGCCTGGCCAGGTCAATTCACAGATGGAGGAACTGAGGCAAGTGCCTCTCTAGCTAGTGTCAGCTGGAATCAAAGCAGGGAGAATTACACGCTGCCTGCAGACGTTCAGAATTAGTGTCTTTTCCAGCTTGGATTTTTCTCAGGTTGTACAAGAGCTCTCCCAACATCTGTCTCTCTGCCTTGCTGCAGAGAGCCCCACATGGGAGCCAGGACAGAATGACAGAAAGAGATAAAGTGAAGGAAATGGTTCACTGAGGGCTTCCTACCCTGCATGATTGTCATTTCCATCTCTAAATCTGCTGAATCTCCTGGGCCAGCAAGTCTGCTCCTCTGGAACGAGAGCTCCATGCCTAAGGGAGAGCTAATGTTTCCCATTTTACAGCCCCTTCAGAGCACTCAGACTGATCTCACACATCCCACTAGCACCTTAAGCCTCACCCAGACCTGCCTGGAAGCAGGAACTTCAGGAAGCTGCCCGGGACTGGAGCAAACACACCTGCAACAAGGAGCCACGAGGAGCTGTGAGCCCGTCGGTAAGACACGCGATGCCTGGAAGATGCAGAGCACCAGACGCACCCAGGGCAGGTGGGGCAGAGCCGGCAGGGGAGCCATGTGCGCGCACACAAACGGAGCGAGCCGGAACGCCTCGGGCAGCGTACAAACCCCAGCAGAGAGCGGCACAGCCTGTCTGCTCTGCCCCGGAGCTCCGAGCGGCCCGCGGGCTCCGCGCTCCGCCGCTGACATCCACGCGGAGAGCTCGCTCTGCCGCCTGCGCCCCCGGCTCGGGCCAAACTTCTCACGCAGTATTTTCCCCAATCTGCTTAAGAAGCCAAAGTCACCGGCTGTGAATTCAGCAGCTGAGGACTGCGGGGAGGATTTTTTGTTCGCGTATTTTGTTGTTAGGGAGAGCGGGGCGCACGTGCGTGGTTTCCTCGCACCTACAAGCAAACTTGCCTTTGGGGCAAGATCGGACAGAAACCGCTAAATCATCGCCCCAACGTGCGGAGAAAGAGCCCGCGGCGCCGAACGGGAGACCCCGGTGGGAGCGGGACAGCGGCAGCACCAGCAGCTCCCGCAGCCGGGACCGACGGCGCGGACCGGACCGGACCCGCCCCTCGCCCATCCCGAGCGGTCCCCGTTACCTGCGGCCGGGAGCGCAGCGCTGCCGCGGCGGCGGGGCACGGGCGGCATCTCAATGACAGCGGCCGGGCCCGCCCCCGGGAGCCGCCCCGGGGCCGCCCCGGAGCCGCCCCGGAGCCGCCCCCGGGGCTCGGTCCCGCATCCCGCCCCCGGGTCTCGGTCCCGCATCCCGCCCCCGGGGCTCGGTCCCAGGGCTCGGTCCCGCATCCCGCCCCCGGGGCTCGGTCCCGCATCCCGCCCCCGGGGCTCG